GCGATTATAACTGTTTTCTGATGTTCTTGAGCTGGTAGTATATCTACGTGACTGCTGCCCCGTGTTGTGTATGTTATAACTGCTAATCTTGTAGATCAATTGATTTAATTTTGCTGCGACTCAGTAAAGTTGTATTGTACCAGCGTATTTTGTTATACACCTCGAAAGTTGAGAAGTCTAAACAACATAGGATTAGTTTAAACTCTGTTCTTGGTAACCTATCGAAAGCACAATACATGACAGCCATCCGCGTGGACTAATCCGATATGGGCTCTAGTGCAGTCGCAACAAAAGCTTGTAGCATTCATATACGAATGATGACCTTGGTATGACACTGATTCACGGACGGTCCATTATATTCGCATATATTAGATGATGTACGCGTCAGACTGACAAGTATTACGAATATTCGCTCTTTTAGGTACTCAGTTTAAGCGCGTCTTGCGCACGGTTGAGCGAGGTAACTATGCCACATGGGCGCTTGCGATCATCAGCGCATGCGTGATGATATTTGTGTCCTTCTTCGAGATTTGGATCAACCTGATCCGCCTTTCGCCTATCACCATGGTTATATACGTAAGTTGCGACTGATTGAGGATCAAGGTCTGCAATCTGTGTGTGTCATCACAAGTGTATGTGGTCATAGTATTTGACAACTATGTGGCGTTTTCGCCTCGTGTTTGTGTGATGTGTTTTGCAGCGAGTTGTAGAGAAATAAAGTTTATCAGGTCTCGGAGCTATATTCAGTATTCGTTATACCGGTTTGTTGCTGAGGACAGGTAGAGATAAGTGTGCATATTCATCTCGTCGTATCACAAATATACCAAATGCTTGTGTTTTGATGTCTTAGTACATCTTGACACCATAAATCCCATATATAGTTCGATCATCGTCCATAATTTAGGCAATCTCGTATTTATTCTTATCAGCGCATGTACACAAACTGATAATGAAACTCATAGAAAGTAGTACGTTTTCTATTAGATTGAAGCCTCATTCATATATAGACCCATCAGCAAGCATTTTGGCGATCGATAACAATTTTGACGCGTGAAATTGAAGCTGTAGGTATGTGATACCGTTCGATACATCGGCTAAATGCACTCTTCTCTTACTTTACAGGCGTATTGTGTCTTCTTTGGATTTGTAATTCTTGCTCTCGAGGTGAGCCCCAGGTTCATGCCAAAGTCCTGGGTCGGTATGTTGCTCCCGCATACAATTTTGTGTATAGTCGGCTTACTATGTGTCATAGTATCAATGTCTATGAACAAGTATTCGCGTACATCATACGAGCTCTATGCGGGCAAATGTAGATAAAGTAAGATAACAAGTGGGCGCTGTGTATATGTATCACATTTTCGTGTTCAAAGCAAAGAGATACTGGCACATTAGGCATAGTACGCTTAGTCTCTTTGTATTCTAACTTTCAATCGATTCTTCTATTCTCACTCCTCCACAGTAGCTGTACGAACGAATGCGCTGTTTCTCACCAGGCTACACGGCCGTGCCTTCTTCTATATCTTTGTTGGCACACTCATGCTCGCTCAATGGCACTGGATGCAAATGATGAGGTAGTTAAACACAATTCTAGATCACCATCGATTGAATATGTCTATTATTTAATATTTTGTAGCATACTAAAAGGCTTTGTACGCTCATATCATTCTGATGCCTTCACTGTAGTGCCCGCATATATTGATATACTTCTTTGATTTACATGTAGTGGGGGGTTGTTGATCTTCACTGGTATCGTCATGATGATCTCGGGGGGTGTTGCCAACAAGAAACTCAACAGCCTTAAGAGGTATGATTAGCTGCATAGACGGCACGAGTTTATAGACGAAATACGACATTTGAGTGCTCGCTGGACATAGGCAAATTAATGATTTGATTGGACTGATCGCGTGAAGTTAAGTGAAAAAACTCGAGATATGTTAAGTTTTAAAAAGCTCGATATCTGTTTCGTGTGAAACGCATGATTTGTCACATCATAAATGTAGCTTGCGTATCATCCTTAGCATACGTCGATACACTCCTGACACTGACCGTATCGCAGAATCGCCCCTTTATGCCAAGTTAATTTGACACCTGAGGTTGCACTCAGTATTGCGTGCTAGTGGGTATATCTTCCACGCAGCTATATTTCAACGATCGATGCAATGTGGAAACTAATATGTACTTCACTCTCCGCATAGGGAAATGACCGATCCCCAGGAAGTGCGAGAAAATTTTTACGCCCATGATCTAGATGGCAATGGTGCACTTGACACTAAGGAAGTTGCGGCGCTATGTGCAAGCCTTGGAACGGTCTTGTCGCGAGTCGAACTTGAACGCGCGCTTATGGTAGGTTTGCAGTTAGAAAGTGTGCATCCACTCACTTAAATCTATTTTTTTCCAGTTGCATACAATGGCAATTTATTAGTTCGAAGAAGAGGCGATATCTGTTCTCGCACTCTAGTCTCGTGTCTTCCAATGTCTTCGATAAGTGTACAATGGCAACCTCGGTGCCAATCAGAGTGGTAGATTGTCGTTCGCTGTGAGATCCAAAGTTTAACATAACTCTATTGTGATGGCATGCATGTATATAATTGAACATCTGGCATTGTGCATAGCTGTTGCGCGCCGCTCGGTTGAGGTGTTGAGTTAAAACCTGACCATTATGTGGTATCAATCGAGTCACGACTGTACAGACGTCACAGTGCCGTTTTTTTTTCGGGTATGCCAAGACACAGGGTTGCATTATAAACACCTCCGTGTCACACATTATTTTCTGGGTAAGATTATCGCACCAGATTACATTCAATCGAGTTGGGGAGTCGTTATCATCTATTTTGCCATTTTTTTCAGTGCCCGTCTAATAATAGCTTGACTTTTCAACAGCTCTTGGACAGCAATCACGATGGAATGGTTTCCTATGAAGAATTTTACAACTGGTGGATGGATCGAGAGGAATAATTATATGTATAGTAATTTAGGTATACTGCTGGGGAGCATCCTTGGAATGCTCGCTACTGTAGTAGTGCTTGTACACAAATAAAAAAGTATATAGTTCGGACAAGGGCCAGTGCACTTAAAATATATGCATAATCACACTGGCGTTGGTCCACCCCTTACGAGTGCGTCATCTGTTCTGTTGAACGTGCACACCTTCACTTGACTGTTATGGCTGCACAGTGAACCTTGCAAAAACCTTTTTTTTTTGAGAGAGAATTGCAATAAACGATGAATTCCCATTCTAGAGTCTAGAAGCCATTTACTAGAAGCAATATTGCACTTGTCAGGCCTTCGGATGACCATTCGCAGACTTGGTATTATTGGCCACAGAATGAAAGGTTGCTGTGTCAACACACCGACAGCGCGTACAGCAATTGGTACACTTTAGCCTTGTATCGAGCGCAACTCTTTTAACAAGCTGGGCAGATGCCTTAGAGCCAATCAGCAAGGGCTTAGTTTGTAGATGTACACGAGACTGTTCTATAGATACAGTATAACCCATGCATATGCTGTGAAAGTTCGTTGCTTTGATCTACCTGGGAGTCAAAAAGATATTATTGCATGGCAATCGCCGACTATTAACACAGCCGCGATAAAGCCCTTTGCAACGTGCGAGGGAAATTTTAGCTCGTCCAATCTAATTTTATATAGGCTATCACTAAAGGGGATAGGGTATCAAGTTTTTCCCAATCACAGCATATCAGGGCTTCTTCGTGACTATCCGGATTGCGTGCATATTCTGTTAATAGAATAAATTGGTGATCATTTTCAGACTGGTTACCGCTATCAATATAAGGTATTTAGGTACGTGGATATCATCTGTACGACAGTGATGCTCGATCCATTTTCAAGAATTCTTTCGCATCATACACACATGCAGAACAGCGACGGCCAGTCGATGCGCGAAATTTGACAGGTGCTAAGCATATACACGAGTAGTTTATGTTAATCCACTATACCTTCACATCTTCACGCAGTATCTCATTGACCATCCTGTGTTGCTTAATCATCGAAAGTCCCTCGAATTTCGCTGATGTTATGTGGACTTCGTAGCTCGATCCGCATCCCCCTATCGAGTAGTAAAGGTTCTGTATAAGTTGTACGAGGCACCTTCTATATCCTCGCTCAGTCTGCAAAAGATGTTCGAACGTTTACAAGCATACGTCACTGGCATGCACCACAGTGCGAAGAAATCGCTCGTGTACATAAGAGCCTTTTCCATATTCTTTGCCGCATTGTTTAAATACATTGTCCGAAAACAAACTCACCGGCATACTTCTGATTACACACAATTTTGCCGTCCAAACAAGGGTGCTACAGAGATAAAAATTCAAACACACCCGAAACATCGACAACGTCCACAGAGGTTGGTGCAAGGGCCTCTTTCAACTTGCTCTCCATTGATTGTTCGGGCGTACCAGCGGCAGCGGCCATGCATCGAACGCGCATAGCTGCCTTCGTCTACAGTATTAAATAAACAAAAATATTATTATACGATAAAGTATAGATATATACACTTACATATGCACACATATATTAGAACGGAACTTCTTGTACTACAATTTTACACGCACATCTGAAAGTCACATGTCTATAAGCCTTCACAAATTATATTCCAGGAAAAATCAAATGATGTAATATGTCCACGATAAACATCTAGAAACTATGTGTGCCTCAGCAATATTGATATAAATGTAAAACATACATACCTACATACATACCTACAAAGAAAATATACATAAAAACGCACATACATACACATGAGTATATATATATATATATATATATATATATATATATATATTATATATATATATATATATATATATATATATATATATTGTTNTTTATATATATATATATA